GAGAGGGTGCAATGGTCCCGTGGCCGGTGGCCCCAGCATGGGGCTGTGCATAGCTGGGATGGGGCTGGCCGGCTTCCCCTGTGGCCACGGTGCCCCTGCGTGGGGCAAAACCTTTGTATGGGGAGAACTGGGCTCTTCCAGCAGCCTGGGCCATTGGCAGAGCATCCCTTGGCAGAGCAAACTCCATGCACGTTGCTGTGAGCCGCAGCCCTGACCTGCTGGCTCTGGAGCCCTCGTGCCCATCAGAGGCCGTCCCTCTGCAGGGTTTGTGTTTGGGCACAGCTGAGGGGAAGCTGTGAGTCCCTCAGGCCATTCCCAGGCTGAAATGTCCCACGGGGCCTGGCCAACGCGATGATTGCACCCTCTCCTGCCATGGCCTCGACTCCGTGAGCGTCTCCTCGCCAGTGTTTCTCACACTGTTCTTTGCAGGCTGTGGAGGAAGCCCATTTCTGCACCTCTCTCTCCACCTCTCTCTCTCTTTCTCTCTCTTTCTCTTTCTCCTCTCAGCAGTTTGAGTTTCCCTCCTTCCCGTCAGACTGTGTCCGGGTGCTTGTGTTGTCTGTGTCGGGTCTGTCGTAACCGTGGAGGTGTCCGGTGTGGAGCAGCCGTGAGCTCCGGGGTGTCTCGAGCCATCAAGCGGTGGCAGCCGGGAGGGGACAGGTCCCAGGGCAGCCGCAGCCGTGACAGCTACGGGGCCGGTGCTGCTCCTGCAGCCCCAGCAGCTGAGGAGGAGCCTTTTGGGGGGGGTTCCCATCCTCTCCCCATTGCTCTCCAAAACCTCAGCTGACGCGGGTCTCCCTGGTGCAGACCAGAGCGGTTATAGCAGCTGTGTCAGGTCCTAAAAATGGGATGGATGACTCAGGGCTGGGATTCAAGGAGCTGGCTCACCCCTCTTCAAACTCCATCCCAATTTCTAACTGTCCCCTTCCATCTCACCCCCTCAGTCGCTCCTTGGCAAGCGATTCCTGCCGAGCTGCCCATGGGGCACTGCAGAGGCGGCACCGAGCGGGAGCGGGGCACGGAGCAGGGATGCTCAGCAGGGGATGGGGGGAACCAGAAACGCCCCGGGGGCACGCCAAA